AACATACCCAGAACTTATAAGACACAATGAAATCAGCCCTTAGAGGGAAATTTATTGCTGTGAATGCTTACATTAGAAAAACAGGGTGATCTCAAAACACCTAATGATGCACCTCAAGAAACTAGAAGAACAAGAATGGTCCAAACCCAAACCTACTACAAGGAAGGAATCATATAGATCAGAGCACAAATTAATGAAATTTAAAGTAAAAAAAAAAAAAATACAAAGAATCAGTGAATTCAAGAGCTGGTTGAAAGAATGAATAAAATAGAAACACCTTAGCCAAACTTATCAAAAGAAAAAAGAAAAGACCCATATCAATGCAATAAGAAAGAAAAAAGCAAAAATCACAGTAGTTACCACCAAAATTCAGAAGACCTTAGCAGCTACTATAAACAATTGTACTCCAACACGTTGGAGAATCTTAAAGAAATAGAAAAATCCCTATACACACAAATTATCAAAACTGAACCAAGAAGACATAAAAATGCTAAATAATCAAACAACTAGAAATGAAATTGAGGCAGTAATTTAAAAACCTATCAACTAAGAAAAGTTCAAGGCCTGATGAATTCACTGCTGAATTCAACAAGAGCTTTAGAGAGAATACAATGCCAATACTCCTCAAACCGTTTAATAAAGCTGAAAGAATAGAAGTATTTCCAGACTCATTCATGGAAACTAGCATCACCCTAATTCCAAAACCAGACAAGGAACCAACTAAGAAAGAAAACTGCAGGTCAACCTCTTTAATGAACATAGATGCAAAAATCCTTAACAACATACTACCAAAGAGAGTGCAACAGATCATCAAAAAGATTACACACCATGACCAAGTAGGCTACATCCCAGGAATGCAAGGATAGTTCAACATATGCAAATCACTAAGTGTAATACATCACATAAACAGAAGCAAAAACAAATCACTTAAGCATCTCAATAGATGCACAGAAAAAGCCTTGACAAAATCCGACATCCACTCACGAAAAATACCTAGAAGAAAATAGGTATAGAAGGATCTTACATCAATTCAATAAAAGCAATTTATGACAAACCTACTAGCAACAAGTTAAATGGAAAACACTGAAAACTTTTGCTCTAAAATCAGGAACAAGCCTAGGAGTGGTGACACATGCCTGTAATCCCAGTACTGGGGAAGCTGAGGGAGGAGGATTGCTGTGAGTTTGAGGCCAGCCTGGACTGCAAGGTGAAACCCTGTGTCAAAAAGACCAAAAAAAAAAAAAAAAGAGAGAGAGAAAGAAAGAAAGAAACTGAGAATAGAAATTACATTCAATTCAGTTCTTTCCCTTCTAGGTATTTTCCCAAAAGACTTAAAGACAGCACATTTCAGTGATGCATGCATATTCATGTTTGTAGCAGCACAGTTCACAGTGGCTAAATCATGGAAGCAGCCTATATGTCCATCAATAGATGAATGGAAACATAAAGTGTGGTATTTGTACACAATGGAGTGCCACTTCACCATAAAGAAAGATAAACTTGAGTCATTTGTAGAAAAGTGGATGCACCAGGAGCAAATAGGGAGACATATGTTTGGCAAATAGGAAGGGGATCTAAAAAATGGAGAGAATGGGGAGGGGAAACGGGACAGGGATGTTAAAAGATCTCAGAAGTGTCATATAATATATCAATTCCCTACAGTGAATGCACTCATGATGTACCACAAACCTGTGCTACTAAGTACAAGAATAAAAACAAACACATTCATATTTCAATATACGACTTTGTGTTCGACACTGCAAGCCCACCTAGATGCTTCTTTTTCTATTCTACTCTGCACCTCCAGAAGTCTTCATACTAGCTGGGTAAATGTTTATACCTCTTACAACAAGCAAAGACTATTCTTACATTAGTTAGCTCTATTCCTAACCTAAAGATTGATGGTGTAAATTCCCTATTCTTGATAGTCAGTCTTTGTAATTGCAACACAAGACAAGCACAGAAAAACAATTTTCTCTCTGAAATACCAAGAATAGCTTTAAAAGTGATGTTTGCCCTCAAGTCCATATACTATACGTGAATGACTTTATTCCCTCTTCTCTGGGGAAATAAACCTCTGTTTCACATCCTATTTTTAATGGTGGCAAGACTTGATGGAAACAATGAAATTGCAAAGAAATTAAAATAATATTTTCAGTATACTATGCCACAATGCCATTTTTATTTTGGTGACCTTCATTATAAGACTTCTGCCAGAGTTTTAAGGAATAATTTATTGCTTTGACTTCCCATTTTGCTATAGTTAGAACTTTTCTACTTTGACTTAGTTTTTTTAAGAGAATGACACACTTTTTAATGTTGTGAAAAATGCCTAAGGTAAATTTACCCTTGACAATTTTAAATGCATTGTATCACATAATCATAACTATAGTATAATGTTATGCAGTAGGTCTCCAGAAATTTTATACCTTGTATGACTAAAACTCTAGACCCATTGAGCAACTCTCCAAGTTTTTCTACACCCTTGGCATCCACCACTTAATGATTCTGTGAATTTAATTACTTCAAATGCTTTATAAATAGAGTCATGTTGGTCTTTTGTGATTGGTTTATTTCACCTAGAAAAGTGTTCCCAGGTTTTATTCACATTGTAGCATATGACAGCATATTAGGCCCCAAAGCCCCTCATTTTCTGTGTCTTGAAACAAAACTACATAATAATTTCTGTTACCCAGCCAGCTCAGATTTTTCCAGCAGGCTGAAACCTATGCTGGAACCTTGAGCATTCCCAGGCCCGGATGAGGGTATCATTTTGTTGCCTAAAACACTGAAAGAAATTGTTCAAGTTCCTTAAGCCCTCATATAAACTCTGTGCTCTGGCTCCTTACCACAAACTTATGCAGGTAAACATCTTTTTTCTTGTGATCTATTACCAAGATATGCTGCAACACGCTGTAAATAAGTTCCCCTAATAAATCCACTGAGGAGAGCACCCTGCCAGTGCTTCTTTCATTGGAATCCTACCGGCCTCAGCTCTGGACAGAGTGATGAAAACTTGGTTGGTTTTCAGCCTATACAGTCCACAACCACAGTGTGTGTGAAAATGTGGCTCACAAAGGACCATGCTCTCTGTATGTCTGCATTTTAGTGATCTCTTGGATGTCCTTCCACTTCTCTGTGCCAGTTATTCAGTTTTTATTATAATTATTAATGTACATTAATTATACAAAATAATGGAACTGAGTGTGACATTTTTATACCTGCATATATTTATTTATCCATTTATCTGTTGATAGTCTGCCAATTACTCTTTTGCTAATATTGGCAAAGCAATCTCTCTTCTTCCACACCTCAAAACCCAGGCGTAGCAGATGAGCATGTGAAAGGGATAGGATACAAAGTAGGTTACCCAAGAAAAGGGATAGGATACAAAGTAGGTTACTTACTTCCCTAGTGTTGCTTTTTTGTAATATCCAACATTTTGTTACCTACATTTTTGTCAGGAAGGAATAACCTTCACTCTAAAGAATTCCAAGTCCTGTCACTTCTTGGCCTTTTGGCTAAGATCAGATGAAGAATTTCAAGTCCTTCCTATTGCTTAAAGTTGAGGCAAAGCCCCACTGTTGAAAAATGTTAACCTAAGCCCTAAGTCCCTGAATCACTGTGCTTTTTCATTCTTCCTAGCTCTAAGGCACTAACCAGTATTCTTTTGGGCCCTAGCATTTTCCTGGACTTGGTCTTTACTGTATCACTTTCCATTTCCTTGGGCAATACAGCCCTTCCCTTGAGCTATAAAGTTGACAAATGCAACATTCTGACTCATTCACCTGAAAATATTTCCTCCCCTGTCCCATGTCTGAGAAGTAGAAGACTAATTACAGAGTAGGTGCTATATAGTCTCATCCAGAGGATGTTATATTTTTAAAAAATTTTCAAATGCTGATGACAAGTAGTGTAAATGCAGACATAATCCAGGAAAACAATACAGACAGCACAGCCTGTTTTCCACTACCTGGAATCTCAGAACATAGTACTATTTCCCAGGTAAAACTTCTTGGTAGTCAGAACTAAAATGACAGGAGTAAGAGGAGACTTGGGATGGCAAATAGAGCAGTTTGTTCTAGAAGCTCAAGGTAGCCACCTGGAAGGCAGGAATGCTTTCTCTAATGACAGTATAACTTCATAACTATGGAAAGGATGCATTCCATTGGTCAGAGTGATGGGGAAGGTCTTGAGTCCTTGTTGATGAGTTTGGTTTGGCATAAGTACACATGTTATAGACTACCATTTGTTCATCAAATATCATTTTATACTCTTGGGAATACAGCTAGACTACAATTCCCAGACTCCTTTCCTAATAGGTAGGCCCATATGACTGTGTGATGCAAAATTATTTTTATTTGTAGAATACAAATAAAAAGGAGTTCCACTTCTATACAGAGACCCTAAAGCCCTTTTGTGTGAGCCTCCACTCTATCTTTTCTCTCCAATCTGTTTGCTGGATGTAGAGGAACCAGCACTGGAGGCCCTGGGAGATAGCAGAACTATAGATGGAATGATCTTGGTCTTTGAATCGTGGCATGGGTGATTGACCACCTTTGGTGAAACATACTGCAAATGAAAATAAACTCTTCTTTTGTTAACTGCACTAAATTTTTATAAATCTCTGTATTTTTGCGATACCCATTAGGTAATCTGATAAAACAGGGGAGGCAGAATTGGAAAAGTCATAGGAATGTGACATAGTAAAGACCAAGTCCAGGCAATTCAAAGTCCATCATGGAGTGGAAACAACTCTTGGGACTACTGAGGACTGTAAAAAGGGAAACATGCATGGCGTACCAAACACCGTAGTGCCTTCAGATTGATTTATCCTTTTATTTGGCAAACACATGAGCCTTCTCAGGATGAAGAGGTCAAGGACAGAGCACAGAGGTCCTCAGCTGGAGCAAGTGAATGTCCCAACAGCAACCAGGCAGCACTTTTCCTAGACCACACACTCATTCTTCCGCTCACACCAGTGGTGGGCCAGATAGAACTTAGGGGAGTAGCATTGATTTAAAGGGCTCTCTGAAAGAGAAAAAATGAGTGGTTAGAAGTCAAGAGCCCAGGTAAAATCCATTCCCCAGGTCAATACCCCCCTAGGCTCCAGATAAGGACAGAAAGTCCTTCTGTTATATCAGAATTTCCCATTTGGAAGCAATGTTTCCCAAGAGGTGTGCTGACTGGGCATACAAGTGAAGAGCAGGTCTCTCTGCATCTGGCCTAAAGAAGGGTGGGTGTCAGTAATTGAATCCTTGAACAAAGGGTAGTAGGCAAACTGATGGGGGTTGTGAGGGAAGCAAAGAAACTGAGTGAAGGTAGGGACAAAGTAGAAACCCCACACCAGTGTCTTAGTTGGTTTGGCTTGGTTTGGCTTGGTTTGGTTTTTTGTGGTGAGTGGCAGCCTAGTATCAGAGATAGGAAACCATTGCCTTACAGTGTTTCTGTTTCTTTGACCAGAATTTAGGTGACCACAGTCTTCCGTTCTGGGCCACATTTTCTGAATGGTGGGTGAGGAGAAGTCAAGCGTGCCCAGGCACTAACCTCCTCCTGCCTACTGACTTACTCCTTGTCCAAGCAGATGTTTCCACAGTAGGTCCAACAGCATGTGTGATTAGGATTCAAGCAACTCATTATTCTGGTGCATCTGTTGGCACAATACTGTGATGGAGGTTGTACCCAGCACTCATCAATTTCTCTTACTTCGGCTGGAATTGAGATGGTAGAAATTGGCAAGGTCAGTATATTCACAACTTGGAGAAGAAATCCTTTTCAAGCTCAACAATGCCTCCTGGAAATTGGGCTTTAAGCCACAAATAAAGCACTTCTCTACCTGCCACGAAAATGCCTTCCTCAAATTCAAAGCTGTGTCTCTTCACAAGAGGCTGCCCTTCTGTGACATGTGTTCCTTCCTTCTGCATATCACTACAACACTGTGGGACTCTAGGTCCTAAAGATAGGATCAGGAACACTCTCACCATGCATGACACCATGACACCAAAAGTATTCTTATATAACCTTAGGTCTCAGGGCCTGCAGTATCTTGTAGACCTAATTTCCATACCCAATTTACAGAATAGAAAAGCCAGACCAGGGGAGAATAGGAGCTTACTTTTCTTCCTATTTGGTCCTTGCTGATATCACCTGCGTACTCACCCTTGTCATAATTAAACTCCATGTTTTTCACTGCCCCACAATTCCCTGCTCAGTCTTTTTGTTGTCTCCGCTTTTATCACTTGACCCACTAAAGAGCCCCTATTTGTGTTTTTTCATGCTTTAAAATGTTCTTCCCAAAAAAAATGCATGTGTTAAAGATCACCCTCCTGGGATTTTTCAAATGTTCGCCCAGCTGTGGCACAGAGATTTTGAAAAAAATCTTCCCTCTAGGCTCAAAGAGAAGTTTCTGTTATGTTTTCTGTATTCAAACTGGTCTGACATTAAAAAATATTATTTCCTGCTAGTCTACAAAATGTGCACCAATATTAGGTTAAACACTTTCCATACGCTCACTACTACTTTCAGAGCTGTGAAAAGAAACCTTGAAGGGACACCAGATTGGGGTCCTTTCAACCTAATCTTTCTGGGGTATCTTTGTTTAGGGAGGGCACTGATCCTTTAAAGGCTGATCCTGGAAATGTGGCCCTAAATCAGCTGTAACAGAAAGACAGGATTGTGCAGAGCACTCCCCCCGCCACACCTAGGAACTAGAGAGTATCTATTATGTGACAACTTTGGCCCTTCCTCTCTCGGCCCCCGTGGACCATTACCATCATCATATTTTGTCCTGAGGCTTCCCAGCACAGGCAGATGGGCACACACAAACGTGATGAGTAGGCAAATCCAGAACTTCATTGCTGTCTCTGTATTTCAGATTCAGTTCTGACAGAAGGCAAGTCTTCCCTTGATACTGCTAGAGATATAAAGGGGATTTGAAGTGAAGAGGGTAGAAAACAAGTGAACATTATTGTTAATACTATATTATTCTTTCTCCTGCTTTTCTTTTTCACCCTCTGACACCCAATGATACACCAACTCCCAAGCTAGTCATTAACATCCACATGCCTCTCCCCATTGCACACCACATCCCACTTCCTTTGCAAAATTATTTTTATGCATTATTTTTTGTGATTAATAAACAGCTAATCTTCAGGTTATGTAATTTTTAAAATAAAAAGTACATGGAGGAAGTGGATGACTATAGTAATCGCAACCATCTAGAAATAATTAGTAGGGATACTTTTATGTGATAGTCATTATTTTTATGAAATAAGACACATTAAATGTCCTCATGTTTTATTTAAAAACTCATACAGTAGGATGATGTAGTGCAAATTTTAATGAAGATCAAAGGGTACTATACTGATTCCAGAATCAGCTATGAGATAGCTTATTTAGTACAGTTTAAGAAAAGGTGGCAGCCTACAACAGGTAAGGGACTCATAAAGCTTTCACTCACATAGGGACACGGTTGAAAGACTTATAATCAGGACTTTCAAGATTTTAGTGGTAAGAAATTTTACTCAGAGCAATGGAGATCTTGTCTGCTGACTCTAGGTAAGAAAAGATTTTACAAATGCTAGTCTTACAGCTCACTCTGTGTCCCCAGAAGTTTGTGAGGACCCAACTAGAATTATATTTGGGCCACAACTAAAAACTCTCTAAAGTGTGGGCATCTGACTGACACAACCCACAGCAGCAGAAAAAAAGACTGCAGTTTGAGAAATACCCAACTTGTAGTTGGCCAGATGACATTTTATGTCTGCAATGTACATTGAAATTTCCCACCAAAGAGCCAGGCTCAGAAGCACAATGCCAGTTTATGATAGTGTCTGTTATATAATAACTTTCCACTCCTCCTGTTGTTCCTTCCTGTTGGTGTTGGGTCCTAGAAAGGGGAACTTTTTTCAGTTAGATTGGGTGAAGGAACAGAATCAAAAACCAACAACAAGACTGAGAACAATAGCAAGTGATGTTGACTACATCCTATAACTGGAGCTTCTTGGAGAGAGGAAAGTCCATTCTTTGGAGAGTTTTTAGTTGTGGCCCAAATATAATTCTAGTTGGGTCCTCACAAACTTCTGGGGACACAGAGTGAGCTGTAAGACTAGCATTTGTAAAACCTTTTATTACCTAGAGTCAGCAGGCAAACAATGTATGGATTGGCTAATATTGAGATGGTATTTTACAGCTGAAGAGTCACATAAAAATCTGTGGAGACATCTTAGCTTTCTTGAAGAAACAAAGAAACAATTAATCATTCTGAATAATGTACATAGAGGGAGGAGAAAAATATATGTTATGCCAGAAATCCAACTGTAAATATTATGATCACCTCTCATATCATTAGTTACAAATCAGAATTAAACTGAATTCTCCCAGTTTCTTTTTGCTATAAGAATGTCCTGATAAATCTTCCTATTGCTAAAGGTTTGGCACATATATCACTCCTTGCACAGCATGAGTTAATGGAGAAAATTTTCCAGGCCAAAAATATTGGGTTTTTTCCAGGCTTTGCATAATTGCTGACTCTTGTCTCACTAAGGGTTTGGGCAACAATTCTCCCAACTGGACATCAATGCCTCCCTGCTTCCTCTTTGTTCTACCTAAAGTAACACAAAGGCAATTTCCGTTTGCTCTTCCATATTTTACAGAGGAGTGAAAATAGGCATCAAAGTCAAAGACACTTGAACTAGAAGCCTAACTCCACCAACTTTCAGCTGTGAAACCTGGATCTATCACACAATTCTGGCTGCCAAGTGGCAGGTAAGGGGTAGAGGAGGTTGGAGCAGAGAATGATGAGGCTTAAGTACATCAAAATTCCCTGCTTGTACCGGTCTGTCTCCTTCATCTTCTATCTGCTATATTACCTTCCTGAGACCAAATGACAAGGAAGATAAAAGAGCCTAAGGCAGGCAATAAACTCCGATATTGCGAGTTAAACAGTAACAAGGCAGTGATTATCTCCCTGAATGTCTTTATATCTGTCCAGAAGTTTCAACCAAACAGCAGCAGTTCCTCCATAATAATATGATAGCTGTTCAAAAAGCTCTATTGAACACTGCTGCTCTAGATGAATGCACCAAAATTACTGAAAAGCAGGTGTAATGTTAGAAATTATTTTAAAAGTATAGCATTTGTCAAAAGGAGCTGTGAAAACTCATTCTCCCCGTGGCACATGTGAAATCTGGAAGTTTTAGCTACATCAGTCATTAAATGAACTGACTTTTAGGCAAACTGGCTGTAGGAGGTTTGAGGAGAGGCAAGAGGAAGAGCAGATCAGGGGGAGAAAGAAAAAGAGAAAAGAAACAGGAAGCACAAGTCATAACAGCTTTTCTGGCACTTGAGCCTGAGGTTCAAAGTGTCTTTTTTTTTTTTTCCCAGTACTGACATTTGGATACAGGCTTTCATACTGAGTTATATTCCCAGTCCTGCTTCCCTTGTTTTTCTAAGACAGGGTCTCCCCAGGCTGGGCTTGAACTTGTGATCCTGGTTCCTCAGCCTCCCAGAGTGGTGGGATTATAAGCATGCACCACCAGGCTGCTGAAAATGTTCTGATCCTGGGAGGGCACCAGAACACGACAACATGGGTGTGCGATGTACTCTGCCATCCACTTACAGGTGAGAATCTGACAATGAGCTACCTGGGCGAGGGTGGCATGGATTGCAGTGTGGATTCCAGGCATGTATTTTTGCATGAAGGAGGAGAAAGACGCACACAGTAGCACAATAAACCCAAAGCAATTGATTCTGTGAGGCTATTTCTTTGTTTTCAAAAATATCGCCTTAGACTCAAGTTTTCCAGAGCTTGGGATCCACTCACTTACAAGGCCTCACTCTTAGTCTAGCACGTTACCCCCCACAAGTCTTCAGGATCCTGGGGATACCCAATTCCTTTTCTGCACACTTCAGTTACACTAAATGAAGTATCATGTCAGGGGCAGTTCTCATGTTATGCCAGGTGCTTCTCACAGAGTTCTTGATAGATTATTTTGGTCATTTGAGATAAAAATTTCAGGACAATTAAATGTACAACAACCCGTAGGAAAATAAGTATGGAGATTCCTCAAAAAAGAAAAACCAAAACTAGAAACTCCATTTGAAACAGCTATTCCTCTTGTGGGTATCTTCCCAAAAGAGCTAAAGGCATCATACAGTATTACAGATACATACCTAATTATGTTTACAGCAACACAATTCATAATTGCTAAATCTTGAAAGTGGCCTATATGTCCATCAACAGATAAATGGATAAAGCAAATGTGGTGTTTACACACTGTAGAGTACTCTCCTGCCATACAGATACACTTGAGTCCTTTGTAGGAAAATGGATGCACCTGGAGACCACAATGTTATAAGACTGAATCAGACACCCAAGTTTAAATATCACATTGTTTCCCCTGGATGAGAAACCTGAGTAAAACTAAGCACAAAATAAAAGATAGATAACAGGAAGTAGGAAGATAGATCATTGTCGGAAGGGAAGGTGATCGAGAAGGGGAGGGAGAGGGAAGGGAGGGAAGGAATAAGGGATGAAAATAGGAATTAGGATGTGCTGTATCACACAACAACTCTACACAAAGAATGTAGACATTTTGTACTGCGAATATGTACCAAAAAGGAAGGGGATCAAGGGGTGGATGGAGGGGAGAGGGAGAGAAGAGAAAGGGAATGAGAAAAGGAATTAAGAGCTGTTATATATATGTATCAACTTACCACAAGGAATGCAAACATTATTTGTACGTGTGTACCAATAAATTAAAATTAAATAGGCCCTAAATGCATCAGAAAAACACACAACTAGCCTCTCCCCAAAATTTTAGATCCTGGGCTTTCTAAAAAAGGTTAAAGCAGAAACAAGCTAGATATGGGAACAAAACTGCTGATATCTATATTTTATCTGTATTCTTTCTACTTTTGGAACCCCAGACAGGTCATATCATCTCTCAGTTTTCATATTTTGACATATGAAACAACAACCCCCATCTTGTAGGAATACTTGACATCATCTGAGCAGGGACCTCATCCAAGCAAGACACAAATAAAAGCTCGTAGCTCAAGATCCTTAGCCCACCTACCTCTGATGGTGTCTGTGGTAACTGCCTTACGGCTCGTCTGTTTGGCCCTCTATTACCGGGAAGACTGAAATGGGCAAAGGTAAGAAAACATCAGAGTGGTGAT